GTCAGCATCGTCGCCATCCGCATCAGCATCAGCGTCCTCGGCATCACCCTCACCAACATCATCATCAGCAGCAGCACCATCGTTACTATCATCATTGGCAGCAACAACAACATCATCATAATAATGCGGGATCTCTCGAGGCTATATTTTTCCATTTTTGCGCAGGACGGAGGAGGGCAGCCTCGAGAGCGCGCAACCAAGAAGAGAAGCACAGACTCGGCAACGGTTAACATTATTGCTCAAGTTGGGCGGGGTGGGCCCAGGGAAGAACTTGAGCGCAAAGATGCGGCCACACATGCACCGCGAATGCCGGCAAGTCGCGGCACGAGGGATCTCTCGAGGCCAGACGTTTCCACCTTTGTGCAGAACGACGGAGGGCAGCCTCGAGAGCGCACAGCCAGCAAGAGAAGCACAGACTCGGCACCACGCGCTAGTCTCCACTCATGTCTACAGCCGAACAACTTCATCGATTAAACACCTAGTTATCGGGCAGCACGGGACAGCTGCCGCGCGGCAGCAACTATCATGTCCGCGCCTGCGGTGGCTACTTCAAAGGGTAGACCACGGGTCAAGGCTCGAGCAACGGCACCCAGCGCAGAGAGACCGAGACCTCCCAAGCGACGGCGGCCAGCGCGGCCACACAGGCCGTGGGAGCAGAGGCAACGACGCGAGAGGCAGTCGAGGTCCCGAACGCCCCAACCGACCAAGAACCGCATCTGTCTAACGCGGCCTGAAACACGCAGGAGTCGGGAGAGCAGGAGGAGGGAGAAAGGAGAGGGGAAAGGAGGGGATGTTTCCAGATCAGGCTAGCTTCAGGGCGCGCAAAAATCACGGAGACCCCGCGACAAATGCATTCCGAGATCAGCCTAAAGGTGGCGGCGGCGAGCGCGTTAGCAACTCGGATGGCACGTCTATCAGGCGCAGTGGTCCCCGCTCCCTCCCGAAGGGCATCCAGTCGGCGCAGGCGGGCCGCTCCTGACCTCCAGGTCGCAGCCGGCACGGAAGCCCATAGGCCGAGGACCGCCGACGAGCGCACCCAGCCCAGCAACGCGCCCAGCAGCCTCGGGTCGCCAGCTTTCTCTAAGCGATGGCGAGCAAGGTTGGTAGCAACAGTTCCAAGCCCGCGATATTCGCAAGCTCGACGAATACGATTCCGCGTGCAGATGCACAGTCCAATGATAAGGCATCACAGACGCGCGTGATCGGGCCCGCCGCCAGAGCCTTCTCAAACGAAGCTCTACTGGTCGGTCAGCGCGGGCGCCGACCTCACGGCTGGCGGCGCGGACGCAGGGAGAAGCGGCGGCAGCTGCGGCGAGAAGATGCCCGCCCGCGCCTTCTCCTCCATCAGCTGGAAGAAATTCGCTTCGACCCTGTCCCCGAACTCCACCAGAGCTGGCGCGAGCTGCCCCAGACCCTGCTGCATCCAAGCTCGCTTGGCGCATCGGTTCAACGACTGGTTCGCCCTCCAGCGGCCGCGGTCCTCGCCCCCCCTGCGAGTCCGACGCCACGACAGGAGGTCGCCTGACGCTCCTCCGCGGCGCAGGGGGCACAGCGACGTCTGCTGGCAGTCGAGCTGGAGCATCGCCAGGGCCGCCTTGAAGGCCTGGCGGACCTGCTCGGGCGAGAAGCTCCACAGGCTCGCCTCGGGTCGTCGCCCCTGATGGAGGGAGTCGAGCAGCGGCCACAGCATGGGGCCGTCGACGATCACGCTCTCGTCCGTGACCCCGTCTTGCCACGCCTCCAGCTCGCGGCGTCGTTCACCAGGATGGCCCAGTGCTGGTAGCCCCCCTTCGACCCGAGCCGCGGGGCGATCAGCGAGGCGGCGGCGAGGCGGCAGGCCTCGCGCGGGCGGAGGCACGCGTCGAAAACGAGCCTCACGAAGGTCGCCTCCGCGAGGCGGCCCTGGGCCAGGAGGGCGCCCCCCATCGCGAGCATGGCCACGCGCGGGGGCGGCAGGCGCATCCGAGGCGGGACGAGCTTCGCCCATCCCAGAAGCGCCCGAAGGGCCCGCGGCAGCGGCCTGCCCCCGCTCAACAGGGCGGGGAGATGGTGCTTCAGCACGGCCAGCGCGGCACGGCCCGTCGCGCAGTCGTAGCCGTCCGGGAACAGGTGGGCGCAGTACACGACCAGGACGGCGTCGAGCTCGGCGCTGCTCTCGAAGCCCCTCGCGGTCGAAAGGCACCAGCCCAGCAACTTCTGGGCGCAGGCGTGGCAGTTCCTGCCCGTGGAGACCGAGACCGCTGACACATCCAGCACCGACAGGCTCCCGCGCGAGAGGCTGGAGGGCCCGGGGTGGACCGCCCGAGTCCTCGCGGCCTTGACCGCCCCCCTTGGGATGCCGCGGTCGACGCGACGCCTGCTCCGAGAGGTTGTCCTCGAAGCTCGGGCCGACGAAGAAGCCTTCTCTCGGCGGCTTGTCGGCGACATTCCGTTCAGAGGGCACCCAGCGCACCAGCGCGCGCAAGCCACATGCGAGAGCGATGCCAGAGAGGCGCCTCGGAGCGCGCACGAGGCGCGGGCTGCCCGAACGCCCCTTGCCGACGGAGAGGGCTAGAGCCAAGTTGTCGACGAGGCAAACGACACGATGATGGTGGGCCCCTAGAGTCCTGGAGGCGCGGTGGACACTGAACCCCAGGGCCTCGGCCTCATACTGCAAGATGTCGCAACCTGAACGAGAGCGCCTGCTCGAACAGACGATCTTCCAGCCGTCGAACCCGAAGACAGCCTCAGGAACCTCCAGAAAGCCCTGACAGGCCTGAGCAGGGCAGCTGGGGTGGACTCGGCAAGCACCAGCACGAGGGCAACGATCGGCGACATCACGATGTGAGCCGACGGTCTCGAAGGCATAGGAACTCGCGGGCACGCTGGAGCCCTGGCGGCGCCTCCACTTCCCGGCGAGGCGGCCGACCTCTGAGACCAAGTCAGGGGGGGCGTCCTTGATGCACACCCCCTTCCCGCACGGCGACGCATCAGAAGCATAGGTCCGCGAAGACCACCTAGACCTGGAAAAGGCACTCCAGAGCGGGATCAGGGCCACCGCGGCCCGCAGCTCCGTGACCACAGACTCCAAAACAGGCGCCGGCTGAGCCCCGACCACGTTGATGAACCGATAGACCGAATTGAAGATGGCCAGGACGTCCCGTCTCAAGATCATTCCCCAAGCACAGCGCCCTACCAGCACGCTCACGGCCCCCGCGGAGGCCCGCCCACGTCGCAAGAGACCCAGAAAGGCTCGGCGATTTCGGGCAAGACGATCGGGACGAACACGGATGATGCCAGACAGCCCGTCGAAGACCCCCTTGCCGACGGCCTCCGAGAATTCCAAGACAGGTAGACCCCTAGAGGCGAGAAGGTCGGCAACGGCACGAGCCCGAGAGGTGGCAATCTCAGAATTCTTTAAGACGACACAGAAGTTGCCAGCATGTCCTGCACATATGGCATCATCGCGATCGACCAGAAGACGCGGGCTGCTCCCATCAACAATCACGTTACTGCTTTCGAAACCAACATCGGATAAAGCTCTGACGAGGGCGCTCTGACAGAAGTGCAACGCCCAACTCCACCCCATGGGAACAACTGCGACCAAAGGTTGTACGAAATCGTTGATACCGATGGGAAACCCGTTGATGGATATGAGACCGATGTGTCTGTTGGAGATCACAGGCAGCGAGAACGGCGACTCCATCCCTGCCGGAAAGCGCAAGTGATAGAAGGCACACTGGGTGCCCCCCTGAGCAAACGCGAAACTGTCATCGGGGTCGACACTGGCCCACGCGCTGGGCGCGGGGAGTTTGGTGGCTGGGGGCGCCGCGAAACTGCAGTTGGCCAGCCGAGTGTCGAACGTGAGCCTGAGCATGCGATTGGAATTCTCCACAAAGAATAAACCGATTGGGTGAGCAAACTGAGGGCTGGCGGCCCGCCACGCGATGCCGTCGCGGGCCTCTGGCTGCCTCAAAAACTGAGCGAAGGACTTTGGCTGGAAGCGCAGCTCGGGGTCCACGCACGGGCGGTCGATGCCAAGCGCGCCCCGCAGCTCCGCTGCCACCGACTCGGGATTCAGCATACTCTGCCTCCAACCCTGCAGCACGATGGAATCGGCCTCCGAGACGACGTCGCAGGCGGAGACGGTTTCCGTCGACTGGGGCCAGGCCACGAGCGGCTGGCTGCAGGGCCGCGCCCGACCGCCGTCACCAGCGCACCTGAGCGAGGCGCACCTGAGCGGGCCTGAACAGCGGACGCTGCAACACCGCCATGGGTCGCGCAGCACTCGCCCTTGCCGCAATGGAGCCAGTTGAGAGCAGACGACCCCTCGCTGCACCACTCTCGCCAGCCCGCGCCTTTGGCAGCTCGAAGACGCGCCGCTCGACCAAGGGGCAGATGGCAGCGCCCATCCACAGGGAGAAGAGGCAGAGGAAAAACATCGCGCTGGCGATGGGCACCGCGCCTGGGCGCCTCGAGGCCAGGCGGTGGCGCGAGCGCCTCTGGGCCAAGCTGACCAAGCCCACGATGATCGGGAACAAACTCGCGAGGCCCATCCTGGCCAGCGTCCTGAGGGAGCGCCATGGCGCCCGCAAGGCCCGTTTCCCACGAGCCTTGCGTCGTTATTTCGCCACCGCGGCTTCCATCTTCATCTGATCAGCGATCCAATCCATCAGCGCGGGGCTGATGCACAGGTTCCCCTTCGTCTCGCCTGCGCCGAGGAAGTGGCCCACTTCGGACGCGAAGCCGGCTGGGGAGACCTCCTTCGCCTGAGCCTTCGCCATGGCCGCAGGCTGCGATCCCCTCGACCGCTCCTCGAACGCGCGCTCCTCCGCGAGTTGGAGCTGGCGGGCGAGGTACTCGTACGAGGCGAGATCGCAGATTACCAGCTGGTCGTGGCAGAGGGCGATCTCTATGACGCGGCGGAGCTTCTCGTGCAGCTTCACGTTCTCGTCGTGCTCGCTGAGCGGCATCATCGCTAGCCAGCGACTGTGCCAGGCCATGGCAGCGCCTGCCATGCGCTAAGTGAAGCCGAGGACCCAGAGCAGCGTCCTCGGGCCCGTCAAGGGCCAGTCGGCGCGCACCGTCTCCGTCCAGAGCTTCACCGCGTCGCTGAAGCTGATGTCGCGAAAGCCGCGGCCGCCGAGGGCGAGGGCCATCACGCGGGGATCGCCACCAGCTGACGCCGCCACAGGAGGGGCGGCGCCGCCGCCAGCGCCAGGGGGGACTGCGACAGCCGCCGAGGGCGCGGGCGTGCCGCCGCCGAGCGCGGCCGCCAGCGCGCCAAGGCCGCCGCCGCCGTGAGGCGCTCCTGCGGCAGGCGGCGCCGCCAGCGCAAGCAGCGGGGCGGGGGCCGCAGCAGCCGGCAGGGCGCCCGCCGCAGGAGGCGCCGCGCCGCCGACTGGGGCAGGCAGCGCGGGGGGCGCGGGCCCGACAGCAGCTGCCGCCACGGGCGCGAGCGGGTCGGGCAGCGCGAACGGCCCCGCAGCAAGCCCCAGAACGTTCGCGCCGCTGAGATCGATGCTGAACGGGGAAGCTGGCAGGAGTCCAAAACCTTGAGCTGAAGCGCGCCGCAGCGCTGACCACACATCAGCTGCTCGAGGAAGCTGCCACTGGTACAGATGGTTGGCTGGAACTCCAGGCAAGCCCTCCCCTTGGCCACTTAGAATGTGCACGGGTCGGATGGCACGACTCGCAACGCTGCCCTCGGCGTAGTGGTCGCCGTCGGGCGTGAGAATGTAGCCAGGCAGCAGCGTCAGCCGCTCGTGGTAGATGGCGGGGCCTCCGATGTTGTATCGCACGTGGTGGAACTGACCTGAAACGGGCCCCGCCATACTGTCTAGCTACGGCGAAAGCTGCGAGCCTGAGCTGCGGCTGCCGACGCCAGGTCGAGGACGGGCTCGGGCTCCTTGAGGAGCAAAAGGCCTGGCGGCCCGCCCGCAGGCACCGAGAGCCGCACCTTGGCTGCCACGAAGCCGCCGCTCAGAGCGCCGAGGCCTAGCGCGACGATCGCCGCGCCCGTCACGAAGCCCATCGACCAGCCAGCGGGCGCGCTCGCCGCGAGCAGGCCCTCGCCGCTGGGGCAGCGGCACTCCAGCGCAGGGCAGTGGAGCGCAGGAGAGCACACACAATCACAATCGGGGCACGGGACCGAACACCCGCGGACGATGATGGCAGTGGTAAGGGCACTGGCGGGATCCTGCGAGAGGCGTTCGAACAGGGCCTGCATTCCCTCAAGAACTTGAGCACAGGGATACGGCCACACATGCACCACAAGTGCCGACAAGTCGCGGTAACATCAGCATCACCATCATCATCATCATCATCATCATCATCATCATCATCATCATCATCATCATCATCATCATCATCATCATCACCATCACCATCATCATCATCATCATCATCATCATCATCAGCAGCAGCAGCAGCAGCATCAGCAGCAGCAGCAGCATCACATCGCCATCACTATCACCATCACCATCACCATCGTCATCATCATCATCATCATCATCATCATCATCATCATCATCATCATCATCATCATCATCATCATCATCATCATCATCATCTTCGTCGTCATCGTCATCGCCATCGTCATCATCGTCATCGTCATCATCATCATCAGCAGCATCATCATCATCGTCATCATCACCACCATTGCCCTAACCTTTACCGCCGCGTCCGTCGTCGCACAACTCATCACCATCATCACCATCATCTGCAAAATCACCAGAGTCGACAGCACCAGCATGAACATCATCATCATCATCATCAGCAGCAGCAGCAGCATCGTCACTATCACCATCATCACCATCATCATCATCAGCAGCAGCATCATCATCATCACCATCATCAGCATCATCAACATCAGCAGACTAATCACCATCATCATCAGCATCAGCATCATCATCAACATCGTCATTATCATCATCATCCTCATCATCATCATCTTCATCATCATCATCATCATCCTCATCATCACCAACATGACAATCATCATCTCACAATCACCACCGCCAGTACCGTCACCATCATCGCAAGCAGCATCATGATCACCAGTGGCAAAATCACCACCATCATCAGCATCGCTCACCATTGTCATGATCTTCAACCTCCTAATTAGCATCCTTATCCTCATCATCGCCATCGCAATACTAATCCCCGTCATCCTCATCAGCAGCATTACTGCCATCATCGTCCTCATCATCACCAGCAGCAGTAGCATCAGCATCGGCAGCATCACCATCATCAGGATCATCCTCACCACCACCACCACCACCACCACCACCATCATCATCATCATCATCATCATCATCATCACTATCATTGCCCTCCCCCCTCCTCCTGGACTCCTCCCTGCGCCCTCCTGCCGGGGCGCCCCGGGCCTGGGGCACCTGCGAATCGTACAGCAGCCCGCGCGCGAACGCCCCGCTCGCAAGCGCCACGTCCACAACGTGGCCGGAGCTGAACTCGCCGCTCACCTTCGGGTCACGGCCGAAAAGCCGCGGTGCGCGCGCAGAGGCGCCGCCGCGGGCGGTCCTCCTCCTCCTCCTCCTCCTCCTCCTCCTCCTCCTCCTCCTCCTTCTCCTCCTCCTCCCCCTCCCAGCGGGTTCCGTCACCCACAGGGATCGGCTGGAGGGAAGGTGGCGAGAACCAGTACTACTTCGCAGAGGCTGGAGTTCTCAGAGGCAGGAAATCGTAGCCTCATGGAGGCAGGAGCTCGAGGAATACGACTACAGCGTGGGTGCCTTGTGGGATCCGGCTGGCTCCTCATCCTCAGTGACGTGCCCAAGAACCCAAGAGCAGGACATCACAGAGGAAGGACATCGCAGAGGATGGAGATCCCAGAGGCAAAAGTTCGAACAGACGGTCCTGGCATATGTTCTGAAGTTAGAGGGGTTTGGCAAGCGGGAACCCCCGAGAGTCAGGAGGCGCAGCAGCAGGAGAGGAGGCTTGTATCTACGCTACGCCACATGACGAGCACGTGGATGTATCCCGACACCGTCCTTCACTACGAATCTGAGGCGAGGGTCAACTGGAACCAATGGTGTATCCCATATGCGGCCCGATAACTTACACTGCAATCACTGAAAGGCATCTCGATGCTGGAAAGCCGCCGAGAACCGACGAAAACACCCGAAAACATCGAGTTGCTGACATAAGCCCCAACGGCTTGGCCGCCGACGTCCCAGTCGACACCCAATGGGCAGCCCCAAGAGCTTGGCTCCCTGCGGCCTCATCCTCCTCATTGTCCGTGCTGCCCAAAGCCAAATAAGGCCAAGAACCACCGCATTCCCACCAACATCCGCATGGACTCGTTCCTCTCGGACTCCTCGACGGCACTGCCCTGGTGCTCTGGGTGCTTGGCGTCTTGGTACACACCTCTCTGCGCACCCGGTTTTCATGTCCAGGGATGCGAGTGGCGGTCTGGACAGCTGCGACCCTCGCTGCGGGTCCTGAGGCGCTCCAGGCCGCGCAAAACCTGCACGCATCAGGAAGCCAGCGACGGCGTTTCCCAGCCCCCAGCCGGGTTTTGCCCCTGACCTGGCTACACGCAAGAGTGACCCTAGGCAAAAGTGATCTTTGGTGCGCGGCTCTCGGGGGGCCGGGGGGCCGCGGAAGGGGGGCCAACCCCAAGCGCGCAAGACTCTACTGTCGCATCGCGCTCGGCGATCGGGGGACCCCAGTGGGCACGCACCAAAGCTCACTCCAGCGCAGGGTCACTCTTACGTTCAAGTCCAGGCGGGTTTTGGACGAAAAATGAAAAGCAATCAAAAAATATTCAGAAATAGTCAACGGAAATAGTCGAAAAATCGTCCCCAGGCTATTTTCATACTATTTTGAAATATTCATCCTGTAGAGGGGAACGCCCGATTTAATGCTACGGAGGGCCAGCCCTCGCGCGAAGCAGCGCCGACGAGCGCGGCGGCGGGCGGTGCCGCCGCGGGCCCGCCGCGGGCGCGCCGAGGGCGCGCCGAGGGCGCTCGAGGGCCAAGGGCGCGAGGGCCGAGGACCGTGAGCCACGGCTGGATTTGCCTCGAAGTCCCACAGAGGAAAAGAACAAACAAACAAAACAAACATGCGGTTGGCGTTGGAAAGAGGGCGTGCGATGTGGCACCGCTGGCCCGCTCATGCCACGCTGCGGTGCCGCGGCCGCGGCGCCGCGGCGACCCGCCGCGGGCGCGGTGTGCGGCGAGATCGCGGGCAGGTTCCAAGCCGTCGGCCCGAGATGGGAGTTGCGGGGGCATTCGTATCAATCAAAGGCCCAGTCAGTCGCCCCGAGGCAGGCGTCCCCGATGGCGAAGGAGTTCAGCTCGTAGCGCTCTTGGCCCGCTGCTCCCCCACACCCCTGAGCGCGAGGGTATTCCGGCTGAGTCCATCACGAGCAGCGAACATGTCCGTATCCGCGCCCTCGCGGTCTGGACTCCTGGGCGCGATCCGCGGATGCGCGGTCGCACGGACACGTTCCACGCGGGGCATCCGCGAAGATACGCCCCGTATCCGCGGGATCGCGACCCGGGAGCCCGGCCCGCGAGGCCGCGGATGCGAATGTTTTTTGGCCACGAGCCCACGCCCCGCCTCCTCTCCTCTCGCTGCGATTAACTCACGGCGGAATGTTTATTGGCAATCTTCGGCCTCTGGGGCCTAGAACGACTCGGGATGCAAAGCTGCTCCCGGCGAAGGCGTTTAGACCTCTGGAAGTCCACATTGCAAAAGCAAGAGCACAAGAAAAGACGTTGGAGTTCGGATGCGGGCAAAACTTAGTTCCATATCCACGGCGTCTTGAAATTGTGGGGAAGGGACGCCCAAAAAAACGGTACGCAGTGGTCATGGACAAATCTGGCTCTGCTAGTGGCCCGACTTTTATCCACATCCACTGCGCGTCCAACAATCCGCGACGGAGTGGATATTCTTACAGATCTTGCCCGCGCCTGGGGAGAGGAGGGAAGGGCTGAGGGCCCCGAGACGCGCCAGACGACGCCCAGAGGGCCGTGGCGTCGGGTGCGAGAGACGGCTCCATGCTGAAACTTGCTGCCCGGGGCCAACATGTCGCCACGAATGCGAGGGGGGCTCCGGGGGAGCAGGCAGACAGACAAGCCTGCGGGGCTCGCAAGGCCACGTGCCACAGAAAGCTTGTGCGCTTGGTACTCCACCGCTGGCACCAGATACTTGGCTTACAGTAGGGGCCCGACCACAAGAAACCTAACCCCGAGACCCCAGGACGTTCATTGATTTTTGGTGTGGGAACGTCACGCTTTCCATCGCAAAACCATCGAAATCCAAGAAACCCAGGGCTCCCTGGAGGTAAGCAAGGTGTTTCTTGGCATGGGTCTCCACTGTACGCACATGGGCGCCGAAATCCGACATCCCCCTCAGCAATGGAAAAGATGGTTCTGCGGGTGGTCCCGCGGGTCATCCCGTGGTTGTCCCTCAGGTGTCCTGCGCGTCCCGTGGGTGTTCCATAGTGAGTGTATATATCGAGATGGAATCCCCATTGCAAATCGGAAGAGACATCTACACTCACATAGAGATGCAAATCGAAATACAAATCGATACACAAATCTGCAAGGAAACCAAGATGCTGATCGAAACACTAATGCAATGGCACTCGACCTAGATAACCTGACTGCACCAGTGAATGCAAATCGGAATATAACTTGAAGTGCACACCGAAATGCAAACAGAAACACAAGTCGGTCTGGCATTACAAGTGGATATCGAGACACAAATTCAAATGGAAATCATGACGCACATAGAAACTCGCAGAAATGGCATGGACTGCAGCCAAAGTGGCATGCAAAATGCTTAGGACACGAACGTTGGAATGCAAATCGAAATGAAAACGCAAATACAAATGCAAATCCAAGTCGACATGCAAGTCGAAATACGCTTCCGATTGCAGCCGACTCAAATTGTACATGTCAAACCGACAACATAATTGGGGTGCAAATCCAAATGCAATCCTGAATGTACATCGAAATGCAAAATGGAATGCAGGTATGCTACTTTTGGAATACAAATCGGCATGCAAACCAACATCAACATCTAGGGACACATCGAAAGCTGAATCGAAACGCACATGGAAATGAAAATCGATCTGCATGTAGACACGCAAATATAAATGCAACTAGAACTGCAAAGCCAAGTGCACATCGAAATACAAAACCAAATGATTGTTCCTGCCCCCTCCCCCAACGCAAACTCCTCATCATCCGAAGGATGGTCTATGCGGTATGATAAATCAACTATTCAGCAATCATACGATCTGCATATCATCACTCCACAAACAGAGCCTGCACTGAGGGGTTCTTACTTACTTCCTTTCTGACGAACTGGGCCCGTTGGCGGCCCCAGCGGCCCCGTTCCCGTCCGTCGCCGCCGCCCCGTTGCAGCCCCCCACCCCCCGTTGCATTGCAATCGCGTTGCATTGCTTTGAATTGCAAGCGCCTTGCACTTCTTTGCTTTGCTTTGCATTGCAATCGCATTGTAATCGCAATGCACTGCAATCGCAGTGTATCGCATTGCATTGCATTGCTGTGCATTGCTTTGCATTGCTGTGCACTGCTTGGCATTGCTGCGCATGGCTTTGCAGAGTTCTGCATCGTATGAAATTACTGCGCATCGCATTGCATTACGTTGCGTTGCCGTGCATTGGTGTGCATTGTTTTGCACTGCTTTGCACTGTTCTGCATTGCGTTGCATTGCTTTGCATTGCATTGCTTTGCATTCCTGTGTATTGTCTTGCATTGCTTTGCAGTGATGTGCATTGCGTTGTATTGACTTGCATTGAATTGAACTGCTTTGCACCGCATGGATTGCACCACCTAAGTTACACAACCTAGATTGCACAACCTAGATTGCACAGCATACATTGTAACATCACTGTTTGGGGTCCACGCTTCTAATATCAAACCATCTGAAAATCCGATACCGTGCCGCAGGGCACTGAGTTGAGTGTACTAAGGCTATTTCGAATTCTCTTCTGTGGGCACTGGAACTACAAGCCTTCTGAGGCGCCTCCAAATGCTTCCGGGACGCGTCGTGTGAATTTTCTGGAGGCTCCGGGAACGCGAATGTGCGATAGCCATCCTGTTCGGAGCATTGTGTTCAAGCCGTCGACTGCTGGGCTTCACGAACCGCCTGCGCGTCGCGATCGAGGCCCGCGTGGTGTGGACACGAGAGCTATACAACACGCTCTTCGCGAAAGTGTACGTAGCAGCTCAGACTGGTCTGACATAGCCGCCGTTCTGGCGACCAAGTGGCGGCGAGCAGCTCGCAGCGACAGCCAGTCCCGCTGATGCATCGCTGCTTCTGGCTCTCGCCTGTCCGCCGCCCTGGCTCCTTCTCCTCTGTCTCCCTCTGCTTTTCCTGTCGGCCCGCCTTGCCTCACCTCGAGGCTGCGGATGTGGCTGAGTGAGAGTATTCATCACGTGCCTTCTGGACACACGGCGTCGTCTTATCATCCTTCTTACTATTTGTCTGTTTTGCGCTTCTTGTGTTAATGTTAGTATTGTTGTTATTATGCTTACTATCATTCTGGGAACGTGGGTCGCTGTTTCCCACGCCTCCTAAGATGTCCTCATGGGATCGCCCTGGAGCTCTTCGGGGCCTCCTGGGCCGTCTTAGAGGCCATGGGGACGGCTTAACAAGCCGAAATCATATGAAAAACATGTGAACGTGCATGATGTTCGCATGTTCGCCTTTTCGGCCCCCAAAAAAACCCAAGGGAGACCCCCACCACGCTTTCGAGACACAAAGAAGTCCAAGAAGGGCCCCCAAAAGGACTCCCGAGAGGCTTCCAAGAGGCCCTCTGCCCACGACCCAGGCACGGCGGCGGGATGTGCCGAGATCCGATATGTGGATATATACTTGGCCACTTATCTCTATGCACGCACAGACGCACACACACACACAGCACACAACGATCTGTCGGTCTGCGGGTCACCCACGGGAACAGCAGCACGGGATAACCACGGAACAGCCACGGGACAATCGCGCAATAGCAGCACTGAACAACCGCGAAGCAACCGCACGGGACAACCACGGGACAACCGCGGGCCAGCGCTGGGCCGAAGCACGACACGATCTGCCGAATCTGGCCGACGTCGGCCCGCGATCCGCGCCTGTCCGCACGCCCGGCGTCGCCCAGCCCGCGCGCACGGGCTCGTGGCAGCCGAACCGAAATCAAGACGGACGTCCCCCAGGGGGTGCACTCCCATTCACCTCGATAACCTATGTCACCTCACTTCCCGCGTCTCGCCTTGCAAATGCGCGACGCGCCGACATCCTCGCGCCCTCGCGGAGGTCACCTTGAAGAGCGGTAGCTGCCACTTTCCAGCTGGGCCGCGACGCGCAAAGCGCGATTATCTTTGAACGCATGCAGGTGACCTAAATGACACACCCCAACCTCACATATCACGTCTGGGGCAATGGCGGAGGGTACCTGGCCCACCATTCACTGGTGGCTGCGGAATTTGCGGGCAGCCAGGAGCTACCTGGAGACAGCCACAGACCACGTCGCAGTCGATGTCGCAAGCCCACAACTCCGATTGTCGTGATTGTTCACGTGGACCCTCAGAGGTCTAGACCACTTCCCCGGGACAGGTTTTGCGTCCCGAAAAAATTGTTGACAGCCCTGGGGCCCAATCAGGGCCCCCAGGGGCCGAAAATTACCGAAAACCTCCCGTCGCGGCTATCTCAAAATGAGAAGAGATCTGAGATCAGCACCGACCGATCTGGGGGAAGAAAGATATCGATACCGCTACTCCCCGACCTCTCCCTGGAGCACGTTCTGACCGAAAATCTCGGAGCGAATCCAGCCGCGGCGACGAGACAGGGGTAGTGGTTATCGGCATCTCTTCCTCCTCTGACGAGCAGCAGCTGAAAGATCGAGTCGAACGCTGCGAAGCTGGGATTTATCCATAAACACCGCCTGACGGACCGACGTCCTGGGACCCCAGGGGGCAGTGGATGTAAACATATACATATATATAGAGAGAGATTTGGGCCCCCTGGGGCCCGAATGTATCCATATCCACCGCCTGCCGATGTCCCCGAAAATCGATCCCCCCGGTGGTGGCTATGAAAAGATCCCCGCCTCGGGAAAGTCGTGACAACTTCCCCAACGAGGGAACTCGCGCCGGGCAGGGCTGGGCCGCCTCCCCTTCCAGCCACTGATCTTTCGGGACGCCGAAAAACGCGCCCAGCTCAAAGTTCGCCTGCGCGCCTGCGGGAGCTGGCCAGGCTGTCTGCGTCGCGGAGGTTAGACTTCACTTGCCTGGATTATGACATGACCGTCTTCGCTGAGTCGACAGCCGAAGCGCCACCGATAAACTCCAGTAGAGAAGGAGACGGGATGGAAAAGCTTGTCAGATGGAAGGGAACATGTAAATGAAAAGGAGCAATATCATATTGATGTGCAATGTGAGCCAGCGTGCACCCCACACAATAAAGTATTGCACTGTGGATGTGCAAGCTATGTGGTGCAAGCTATGTAGTGTAAGCTATGTGGTGCAACTTACGCGGTCAAGCGAGAGGCGGCAAAACCTCGCCGAGCACACCAAGCGCACGAGGCGGCAACGAGGCGGCAACGTGGCGAAACCTCGCCGAACCCAACCAGCGCACGACGGCGGCAACAAGGCGCCAACGAGACGGCAACGTGATAAAATCTCGCTGGACCCACCCAACGCACGAGGCGGCAACGAGGCGGCAACGGACGGCAATGTGGCGCACGAGGCGGCAACGAAGCGGCAAGCAGGCGGCAACGGGCGGTAACGTGGTGAAACCTCCCTGGGCCAGGCGGCAACGAGGCAGCAACGAAGCGGCAACGTGGCGAAACCTTGCCGGACCCACCTAGCGCACGAGGCGGCAACAAGGCGGCAACAAGGCGGCAACGAGGCGGCAACGTGGCAAAACCTCGCCAAACCCACCCAGAGCACGAGGCGGCAAGGAGGCAGCAACGGGCGGCAACGTGGCAAATCCTCGACCGACCCAACCAATTCCTAAGTGCAAGCACTGCTTGGGGGGGGGGGGGGGAAAAACATCGACCCATCCAAGATGTAGCGATTGATTGAATCAGAAGGGAAGCCCACTTCTCGAACAGAGCGGCCAGAATGCATGCCAAGAGTTTTACAAAAAACAGACAATGAACCAATTGAACATGCTAAGACGGACTGAGGTGTATCGGAATGGAAGAAAAGATCCTTGTATCAGCAGAGCCAGCCTCCTCGCCGCCTCAAGTAGCACCACCCTCCAAGCTGCTTACCAAAGCTCTTGCCAGCCCCATAAACAGCCACGACGCTCTTGAAACAGCCGAAGCGGCCTCGAGAGGGCGCCAACACGTCTCTGAGATGGCCATAGACAGCTCCCCCAAGACTGCCTAAAACACAGCCGCGGCGGTCCCAAGACTGGATGGAAGCCGTCGAGGAGGCGTCCAAGAAGAGGCATTCCAGGTGGTCTACAGGGGGCATGCTGGAGACCGCACTGCCCCCAACTTGCGCTGGGCACCAAACAGATCGTTCAAGAATGCGGGCTAAAGATCCTGGACTGCACAGGTCTGCTTCGCTACGATCTCGGCGGCCCTCGGGGCCTACATCCTCCTCCGAATCCGCCGAGCACATGGTGAGGGTCATCCTGCGTCTGGCCACGTCGACCCCGAGAATCCTGCGGCGAGCCAGGCTGCCACACGTGCCCCTAGATCTCGGCCCCCATTTCTCTCATCCTGTATCCCTTTCGGCCTCTTCCTCCTCCTCCTCCTCCTCCTCCTCCTCTTCCTCCTCCTCCTCTGATTCCTCCTCCTTCTCTTCCTCCTCCTCCTCCTCCTCCCTCCTCCTCCTCCTCCTCCTCCTCCTCCTCCTCCTCCTCCTCCTCCTACTCCTACTCCTACTCCTACTCCTCTTCCTCCTCCTGCTCCTCTTCCTCCCCCTCCCCCTCCCCCTCCCCTACCCTCACGCGTTCTTCCCTCCTTCCTCCTCCTTGAGAAGAGACATGAGTAAAAACAAAAAACGACGGCCCTGGAGACGAACAGGAACGAGAGACCTATTCTTGTCTGGCGCACAATGAAAACATGTGAGCGCACCACAACACGGAGCCTCCGACTATCATACCCTGCCGCAAGGTAAGCACACGAGCTACACAAGTGAAGGCAGAACATTCAGTGAACGGTACCCGTGCTATACATGAAATCAAGGATCAGTAATGCGCCCCGAAAACGTCCGACTTTCCTGGACTATCGCAGGAAATGAGCCGTTCACCAGGGCGGAGTTTCGGGCAATTAGAAAAGCTACGAATTGATCCCAAAAACGTATCGGCGCCGCGCGGGGAGCAGGAAGAGGAAGAGGAAGAGGAGGAGGAGGAGGAGGAGGAGGAGGAGGAGGAGGAGGAGGAGGGGACAAAGAATGTCAAGCGGTAAGGAAGACAGGATTATTTTTCGGAAGAAATGCAAAGTGGGTCAAGCATGTAGTAAAGAGGGCGCGGTAGGTGGCCACCTTGAGCCAAACAGCCACAAGGGGAAATGACCCACCGTACCCTGCATACCATGAAGACCTACTGTTCGAATGTGGTGCTCAAGCGGGTCCGTCGTGTTTCGGCGGTTCCCCCGGCTTTACCAGGAAAACCCCCGGAACACAAGCAGCTCCATCGCGGACAGATACAAAGGCAAAGTCGCGGGCGACAGACAATTAGACGGAACACAGCCCTCAATGGGCACTGCCGCCCCATTCACACAGTGGACGGAAGCAGCATTCACTTGGCGTGCTCAACTGTCGCAACGTCAGCCACTCCGCTAACCTATTAGCGGCAGCAACAAGCCTCTCACTTGCATGCTCCACCACTCTCTCCATCTGTCCTGATTGCCCACCAAATTAGGCGATGTGCTCTTCTGGTGCGTTGTCGTCGGATGCACTGGGCCTTGGAACGAGCCTGGATGGTGTTGGCGGTGGACACGAGTCTCCTGGACAATCGATCCATGAAAGCGTCGATTCTCGGCTGGCGCAGCTGCCAACTCAGACCGAAGTCCCGTTGACACTCGCTGGAATGACAGGCTTGTCTTCCGCGGCTAACGAAGTCTAGTATCTTCAGATACGTATCGTATAGCGACGGGATGTTCAAGGATACTGATATTCAGGACCATCACGAAGGTTCTTGGGCATTCATCGCGGTGTTGCGACGTGACTGTAGGCTGGGAGATCTCGAGACGACCGAGTCCATGTGGTGGACGCCAAGTCCAACTACGATGTGGTGCAGAATGATGGCCATGCGACCGCCCGAGACAGGCGGACAGCTATAGACCTTGCTATCATATGTGAAGTACTGGAGACGGCCAGAGGCAACGTCCTGCGGATTCCCCACTGGCGTACACCGCGGACTGTCTCACGAGCGACGACACATCGAAGGGGAGCATTGCCCTCTTCGACCTGACGATCATGGGGCGCCTCGTACTGGTGGACGAGAGCACCGAGGCTGCACGACGGAAGAGCCAGCCAGGCCTCATGAGTAGAACCCTGTCTGCCTCCAGGAAGGACTTCGACGACCACGACCTTGTATCGTGGATCGTGGACGGAGTTCAAGTCCCAGGGCCAGGAGGTGGTCGGTGTTGTTGTGGTGCCTCCCCTCCCCTGCCCATATCCTATCTCTCTCTCTCTCTCTTTCCTCAGCGAGCCTCCTAACAATCGATACATGTATGTATGTATATCGTGCATTGCTGCTGTGTATATTCTTTTATTGTTTCGGGTTTGCGACAATCGTCATAACGACGTACTGTCCTACCGCCAGCCTCGGCAAGCCTGACAGTTGGGTGTGCTAAACCTGCGAAGGATTTCCACCTGTGAAACAGGTGAGCAGAATTTCCCACTGTTCAGGTTTAGCTAGTAGAGTTGCGTTAGAGGCACGTGCATTTGCATTAGAGACACGTGCCTGCCGCCATATTTGGTTCAAGAAAAAGCATATGTCAGAGCTCTTGCTGCTACGGAAAGCCTCTGAAGGCCCCCAGAGGTCCTGGGAGTCTCCTGGAGGCATCGAAGGCTTCCTCTGACTGAAGGCCCCGAAAGGCCGAGAAACGGCGAGAGGGTCGACCTCCAAAAACCTCGGTCCTCTTAGAAGACAGAACCGAGATCTGGTCAAATCGGAATGCGTCGGACCGGGCTGCATCGGCAAAGGTTCGAAACCGAACAGGATCGGCCGCGCCTGGATGCACAAGAACACCACGCAAGCATCGGACCCCATCGGCTCGTCGGAAAATCGACGCCAGCCCCGATCGGGTCGGTCGGAATCGAGGAGGAGGAGGAGGAGGAGAAGCCCCACCCATCGAGAGAGCATGCTCCATCCCACAACTGACTATCTAAGGAGGCCTTGGAGCCTCGTCTCTCTACGGATGACTGCACGAAGACGGCCGACAACAGTTTGCTGTGTTAAAGAGGCAGAAGAGGCAGCACGAGAACGGAGGGCCTGGAAGGCAGAATGGATGGAATTTAGGGCAACTAAGACACTGGCCAGGGCCTGGGGATCGAAGGGGGGGAGGAGGGGGAGGCAGGAGGCGCCAAGCTCTTGACCCCAATGTTCAGGCAGGCGGTGGAGCAGACGAACAAGGGATGGGACAACGACTGGGCAGGATAGGTAATGGAAAAGATCGTCTTCGCCAACACACCGACATCCGAATTTGCAAGACAATGCTCCCTGTCGATTCTTTACTGGTGCGCCACCCTCGGAACAGCGTCTTGAGGAAAGCGACAAAGATAAACTTAGGCACCAGATCCGCACCCTTCAGAATGACCATCAGGCTTCGGTCAATCTGCGCGTTAGTGATACTGGGGAACCACTTTCTGAGCCGCGGTGCAATCACAGACGAGATGGGGGAGTTGTAGGCGTCCTGGAAAATCATTTTGGTAAACTTCTGCCGGGCGTTTTTGGACGAGCATCGGGAGGACGCCGAAGACGATATTGGGAACGCAGGAACGCTTCGTAACTATGAACGAATAACGATTATCTGTAATATCTGGTATTCTTGCATGCTATGACATGATCATCACTATCTACAGAGGCCTGGAGCTGACCCACCAAATCTGGGAACAGTTTCGAATTAACCCCCACGCGTAACTTCGCCGCTCTGGCGCTCGTCTACAGATGGCCAATCTGCGCGCTGAGGCCGAGAGTACGGACCGGCAAAAGAGTTCGGGAGGGAAGGCGTGACGCGGGGCGCAAGTGCACAGCGGGTGACACTCCCGCCCAGCATGTAAAACAACTTTGTCAGGTCGATATCCTTGCCCGACGTAACTGGCGACCGAAAGAGAATACCTGCCGTGGGCAACTAGGCTGGCCGTGAGCCCTTGACCGAGAAGCCTGACACGATGGCCGCTCTCTCTCTCTTAGTTGTTGGAGACAGGCAACCAGGATAAGCTCGGCCCGTTTTCCCCCATCATAAAACCAAAATATTCCCCGTGCATCTGAATTTTGAACCTGGAAACATGAATACCCTGGTCCTGAAACTTGGGAACAGCTTCCTGGAGCCAGTCGTCGGAGCACAGAACTAGGACGTATTTGCCTAAATGAGGATGAGACCAGACGGGTAGCCAAACTTGCAGATGGCCTTCACAGCCGGCTTCAGGATCGAGAAAAATTCAACAAGGAGGCGAGGCCCACGTCGTCGGCGAGCGCGCCAATCTGGAACGGTGACGAGGCTGGGGTAAGATCGAGGACCCCGAGGTGCGGGTCGAGGCAGATCGCGAACAGCACTCCCGATGTAAGGACAGCCTTGTTTTACAACCTCTCGGAGCACCAGGAAGGAGCGCTTCTGGGACCCACGGAAACAGATCGCACATCGAATATTGGAATAAAGCAGCTGGAGAGCAGTGATCATGAGTTCGGGGAAAATAAAAGGCTCGTAATGCTCGGCAAATCCAAGAGCGACAGATCGACGAGAAGGTTGCGCGGCAGTCAAAGAAGCACGACCCTGTCGACCGATGCCCGCGGACTGCACCCCAATGAAACACGTTGAAACCGGCGGCCAGGACATTGTCCATGATGCTCCCACCCTTCACAAAACCTCGCTGCGAGCCGCGTGCCTTGTCAGCCACTACCTCGGAAATCGGATTCGCAATTATACCAATGCTAAGATTATCGTGGCGCTCGAGAGCGCAATCGGTCGGGTCCCAAGCGGCGCAGCACCAGCCGTCGGGCCCTGGGGCGGAATCCTTGCTCCTGCGAAGGAGACCTAGAAACTGGTCGAACGTCAGGGCCCACGGGAACCTTCGGTGGGAATTCGTGAACTGGCGGAGGTCGGAGGGGATCGGGGGGGCGAGGCGGGGAAATTCCCCCCCCGCCGAGCGGCTTCCGGAACAGAGACCAAAAACTTCCCCCCAGCGGTCGCCCGGGCGTCCTGCGCAGGGGCCAACGTCGAAGCTGGCGCCACCGCCAGGGCCAACAATGCCGCACTGGGAAACAGCACGCTGGCTGGAGGCCCGTGCCTTTGCCAGCCGACAAACACGCGCAGTGTGAAAGTCAACGTTCTGTCCAGCTGCTGAGCGAATCCCCCCCTCCTGCCGTTGGCACTCCCTCCCCATGAGATGGCCGAGGTGCCGATGAAAGGCTGCGCGGTCGATCCACTGCCGAACCTCGCCGTCGTAGAAATTGACCAGCACGGGGCACGCGCGCAGAACAGCGCGGATGCT